GTATCTACCCATGCATTCAAGAAAATGGACGGAATTTCGAACAGTTAATACGCTAAGTGTACTACTTAGCGAATTAACTGTTTGAAGTTACAAATTAACTAAATAAAGCACCCCGATAGTGAGAGGCAAGGGGACTCACGTAAATAAAGCACCCCAAAGGGAACAAAAAACTACCACGTCCACGCCGTTGTTCCTGGGTAGTGCTAAGAGTAGTAATTTCTATTAATTTCGGCTAAAAATTTCGTCCGCCATCTTGGTCCGCCATCTTGGATCCGCCATTTTGAATTTTGCAAATCTGACTTCAGATTCGTGATCAGCAACCCCAAAAACCCTCGTAAACTTAATTTGGTGCAAATCGGTTGAGTAAAATTTTTGTCCGCCATTTTCGTCCGCCATCTTGAAAATTTTAAAACAGCCAAAGTTATATCTGAACGTAAAATTTTCCGCTTTTTCATTTTCCGGTGTCAAAAAGAGGGGTTTCCATTTTAAAAAAACCACTCCCGGTTGAAGTAACCCACTTTCGGTCAAAATCAAAAGTTGAAAGGTACGCCATTTTGGTTCCCCCTCGAAACCCTACAACTTTTATATGAAACTTTTTTCGATTCCTGGCCACGCAAACGAGTTATTGGAGGTGATAGATTCAGATGACTCACCCTGTATATATATATTGTGACGTGACAGCCGTGGAGGCGCCCGTCTCAAGAACCCCGTACCGATTAGTGAGAATGTTTATCGGGTGCCGTGTCGCTAACGGTTTTTCGAGACCTTGCCGAGTATCGCGTTCCGTCGGATTGTTTGTTGTGAATATTTAGAACAAAGCGAAGAAGCGATTTTTGCGAGCGGAGCAGATGCGAAGGTCAGCGCGTCCCGAATTTTGTGCCCCTCGACATCCCTTGCCGGCCATCAGGACGAGGAGCGGAGGACAACGAGGAGCGGAGGACATCGAGGAGGGAGGAGGCAGCGGATGCCAATTAGCGGAGCCCTCACTCAGGTGAATCGCACTCTCGTACTTTGGTGATGCAAAAATATTATCGCGAATTATCGGGCACTCAGCGATAGAGAATTTTCTATCGCTGAGAAGCTATCGTAGTTATAATACCGTATCGCGCCTAGACGGATCAGCTGTATTTACTTCTAGCGAAGCAGCCGTCGCGAGAAACCCGGCAGAAAAAAACGGGAGAGCCGGGAGAGACAACCAGGCGAACTCCCGACGTCAACACTGTCTCGAGACGAAAAGTGTCTCGAGACAATAGTGCCGAAATCTGCCGATTCTCGACGATCGACGACCCCAGGACGAGGGGGCAGCGACGAGGGAGGATCCGCGAGGATACGCGATCCTCCCAGGAAGAAACAGCTGATAGCCTTGCCGCGACCATTGCCGCGTAGAGATCACGTCCCGACCACTACCGAGCAGATCGTGTGTGAAAGAGAAAGAGCAGAGAGAGAGGGCAGAGAGAGAGAGCAGAGAGAGAGAGGAGTGAGAGTGCGAGAGAACAGAGTGAGATAGTGCGGAGCGAGAGAGGACGAGGAGAGAGCGA